TTTGAATACCAGGCGAGCACTGGCATGGCATCCCAAGATAATCCCCCATGGCAACGGGGAGTACTGGGAGGCTTTAGAACAAAAGAGAGGGGTTGGTGTGCTTCAGGCAGTGGTGGACGTAGAGCAGACCTGAGTTGTATAGAGTAGACAAAAGACCAAGCAGAAGAAGCCAACAATGTGGCCCACCCCACCCCCACCCCACCTCGAGGTGCATGTAACGTTTGCTGCTGGCCTGTAAGGGTCAGGCATGGAGGGTCTCCTTCTTGCCCCTTTCTCCAGGAGACCATAGATGGACTAACCTCACAGCTGCAGGCCTTCCAAGCCAAGATGAAGAAGGTGGAAGAGTCTATTCTGAGCCAAAACTACAAGAAGCACATCCAGGTAGGTGGCAGTACACCGAGGAGCCTTTGCTTCTTGAAACTCCAGAGGCACCAGGGGGGCCAGGGTCTAGGCCCCGGGAAAGCTTGCTCCTGGGAAGTCCAAGCAGACTCTGCCTTGGTGTCCAGTTTGACCCTGCTGCACAGGGTTTTCTTGGCTGTCATCTTTAAAGGAGCACGTTGCCAGGGCAGGTTGGACCCACCAGCCTCTAGAAGAGTAGTTGAATGCAAAGTGTTTGTGCCCCCCAGAAAGTTTAAACCAAAGACCAACCTCACTGCCATCGAGTGGGCGCGGACCCCTAGTGACCGTAGGGGACAGAGTAGGAATATCCCTGCGAGTTTCCAAGACTGTAACTCCATAGAGGAGTAGGAAGCCCTGTCTTTCCCTCCCCTGGAGTGGCTGGTGGTTTGGAACTGCGGACCTTTCAGTTAGCAGCCCATTGAGTAAGCACTACGCCAAATCACGTCTCCCATGGAAGGGCTCAGGCCCCAGACTCTTCCCAGGCTCTGGAAGCAGCAAGGATTCCTGCCTCCGGATGGGGCAGGGTGGGGAGTCAGGTTCAGAGAGAGGCCTGTGGTCTTCAGAGAAAAGGGGTGCTATTTGCAAACCTAGCATATGTCCCAAGTGACTTACCGGAACCTCAGCTTCTCCATCTGGATGGGGTCCTTGTGGGAGCGTCAGAGGCTGTTAAGGTCAAACGAATCAAAGTGTATTAAGCCCACAGCCTGGCAATCTGCCTTCCAACAAATGAGCCCTTGAGCCCCCTCTGGGGTTCTTCTCGAACACGTACAGGTTGGCAGGGACACAGCCGGTTTGGTTCTTTGGTGTTTGTTTTTCAATGCGCCAAGAGAGGGAGGCGGGTTGGTGGAAGAATGGGAAGGCAGCAGATCCTGCCCCTGTCTATCTGTCCGTCTCATGAAGTCCCTCTGTGTCCCTGCCTAGGATTATGGGAGCCCCAGCCCATTCTGGGAGCAGGAGCTGGAGAGCTTGCACTTTGTCATCGAGATGAAGAATGAGCGCATTCACGAGCTGGACAGACGGCTGCTGCACATGGAAACAGTGGTCCGTGCAGGGAGCGCCTGGGGCGGGGCTGGAGGCGGGGCGCTCCTTTCCTGGGCCCTGGGCTCTTCCCAGCCTGGAGGGGGAGGTGCTTTGAAGAGGCCCGAAGCCTGGCCCACACCAGCTGTGATCTGTGGCCCGTGCTGGCACTTGGCCAGCGGGCACACGCCCACTGTGGGTATTCTGAGCCAAGCAGGGGCTCCCTGTGATCTGGGCCCTGCACTTTTCCTGCCGGGAGCCTCACCAGGAGAGACTGGCAGGTGTCACAGGCCAGGCAGTGGCTAAAAAAAGGCTAAGTCTAAAAGGTCAGATAAATATGAGAGGGAGAATTGGCAAGGGCAGGGCAGGTGAGCTGTGGACAGGGAGGCCGCGGTGGCTTTGTCCGCCCCAGCACGGGGCCCGCGGAAGGCTAGAGTGGAATCCAAGTCAAGATCACGTTGTGCTGTCCCCTGTGCCTCCAAAGTGAGCCGTGTGTGTCACACGCCCGCCAGGTCATCTCCCCCTCCCAGGCTTTCTCGCTCAAACCCCGCCATTTTTGTGGAACAGGGTAACAGACAAACTCAGTTCTACTTAAAGGGACGATCTCCTCGGACTCTTGGAGGACAAGCTGCCCTTTTAGGAACCGGCGGTGACAGCAGGCCACCGTGTCCTTGGGCCTTCTCGTGGAAACCTACACGGCGGCGGCCCTATGGTGACGCCTTCTCACTGTCCTCCAGCCAATGCTGACTCGCGGCGACACTACAGGACAGGGGAGAGATGCCCCTGTGGGTTTCTGAGACCTTAACTCTCTACGGGAGTAGAAAGCCCGGTCTTTCTCCCTCGGAGCTGCTGGTGGTTTCGAACTGTAGACCTGTGGTTAGCAGCCCACCTGCATAACTGCTATGCCAACTAGGGCTCCCTGTGTTGACCTCTTGGTCTTCTGCCACCAGCTTATTGCCCCAGGAACTGTAGCACTTGGACGAGAAGGTGTGTTCAGTTCTCAGAGCTAGCCAGGAGGTGCGCCCCTCGGTGGGCAACGCTGGGCGGAGCCAGCCACGTGCTGAGTTCGTCCTGATTGGTTACAGAAAGAAAGAAGCCTGGCGCTGGAGGAGAGAGTCACCGCCCTGCAGCAGGAGAACGAGGACCTCCACATCCGCAGCAGGAATCAGGGGGTGTTGGCCAGGTAGCCCCGCTCAGACCTCCCAGCGCCTTCCCTCTGCCCCAACCCTTTTGGCCAGGGGCGGACAGGTGGCCCCAGGCCTGCCTAGGAAGGTGACTCCTCTTCCTCTGGCAGGCAGGACTCCCAAGGAACCAGGATCTGCTTGCTCCCTCCCTGGATACACCCAGGCTGGGGTGGGGGTGGGGGGTGCTCCCTGGCAAAGCCGGACACAGAGGAAGCTCACCCACAGGACACTAGAGGATGAATCCATCCTGAGAGCGTGGCCAATGAGCACAGTCATCCTGTGTCACACCTCATTCATTAAACACTTCCCGTAGCAGCTCACCTCATCCTCACTTTAACAGAGGGATGGGAGCTACTATTATAATTCCTCCATTGTACAAATCGAGACCAAAACCGCCACCACAGAAAGCACAGGTACCACAGCGTTGATTCGGTCCCTGGGC